ATGCATTTTTAACTTTTCAAGTACATATTTCACTGAAGGATTATTGATGTATACAGAAAAGTATACAACATTTTAAATGTATGCATTGATTAATTTTTCCAAAACACACACACCGACTGAGCCAGTACTTAGGTCATGTAAGAGAACCTGAAGAGTAGTCCAGAAACCTCTTTGGGTGTCCTTTATTTTTTTTTAATTTTTTAAATTTTTTAAATTTTTTTTTAAAGATTTTATTTATTTATTTGAGAGAGAGAGAATGAGAGACAGCACGAGAGGGAAGAGGGCAGAGGGGGAAGCAGACCCCCCGCTGAGCAGGGAGCCCGATGTGGGACCCGATCCCGGGACTCCAGGATCATGACCTGAGCCGAAGGCAGTCGTTTAACCAACTGAGCCACCCAGGCGCCCTGGGTGTCCTTTAAATTACCAGTTCTCTCATTCCTCCAAAAACAACCCAACTTTTAACTACATTGATTAGTTTTACCTGTTTTTGAACTTTACACATATGGAAACTTCCAGTACGTACTTTTTAATCTAAGATTCATTTTACCCAATAATATGAGATGCATCCATATATTTACATTTAACAGTAGTTGTTTTGGGCTGCCTCTGTGGCTCAGTTAGTTACGTGACCAACTCTTGATTTCGGCTCAGGTCATGATCTCAGGGTCAAGAGATCGAGCCTCACATGTCAGGCTGTGTGCTGGGCATAGAGCCTGCTTAAGACTCTCTCCCTCTCTCTCTCTGCCCCTTCCCCCCTCTAAAAATCCAAAACTGTAGTTGATTGATTTTCATTGCCATGTAGGATTGCACTGATGAATGTCCTGGAATTTATTTGTTGATGTTACTGTTGATGGATCTTTGAGTTGTTTCCAGCTTCTTGGTATGACAGATAGCACTGCTAAGGACATTTTTATACCTGCCTTTTGGATTCCTCTTGGATATATTGATTGAATGAATCCGGCTCATAGGATAAGGCATATGTCAGCTTTAGTAGATACTGTGAAATAATTCTACTCTTGTACAAATTTACACTTTCACTAGCAATGTCTGAAAGATACTACTGCTTCATATCCTGCCATTACTTGTCATTTTGTCTGTCTTTTCAATAGTAATCATTCTGGTAGGTGTTTGCTGGTATTGTGCTATGGCTTTAATGGGCATTTCCCTGATGATTGATCATATTGAGAGCTTTTTTATGTTTATTGACCCTTCATCTATACATCTTTTTGATGGCACATCTAGTCTAGCCTCTTGTCCATCTCATTATAAGCCGCCTTTTTGTGTATCTAGTTTTGGGGAGTTGGGAGGCAGCACACGATAGCAAAAGGGTGAGCTTTGAGTTAGAAAGACCTACTTGCGGGCGCCTGGGTGGCTCAGTTGTTTAAGCGACTGCTTTCGGCTCAGGTCACGATCCTGGAGTCCCAGGATCGAGTCCCGCATCGGGCTCCCTGCTCAGTGGGGAGTCTGCTTCTCCCTCTGACTTTCCCCCTCTCATGCTTTCTCTCTATCACTATCTCTCTCAATAAATAAATAAAAATCTTTAAAAAAAAAAAAGAAAGAAAGAAAGACCTACTTGCAACACTCTGTGTTCAGCTAAAGTCTCTCATGCTTGGAGTTGTCTGTGAAGTTGGCACTGAGCCTTGGTTGGCTGTGTAGGCACCATCCAAGGAGTCATTGCAATGTTCTGGTGGTCCCAGTTGAAATTAGAGGACTACTCAAGGCGGGGCTCTGAATATATTCCGTGTTGGATTCTGCATTTCCTTCCTTGCTTTTATAGTTGCTGTCTTTGGTGACCAGGAACAAAATATTCACCGCCGACGACCTAGCTTTGCCACAGTATCTGAGATATCCGTTTGTTTCAAACTGTATCATTCTATTCAGGAAGGACTGAGCATTGGTTAATCTACTAAAGAGAATTTCAAAATGTTCCTGCCTGCCTAGTTAAACTCCTTTTGAATGTCTCAACAGCTTTAACACACGTTAATAAGAAGATGCAAATTACCGGACTGATCCCTCCCTCCTGATCCCTGTGGCAGCAGGACCAGATACATGTTGTAGAGGAGGGATCTTAGTTGGGCTGGAGAAAGAGAAGGCACCATGGAGAGGAAAAACCAGGCAGAGGAATGTACCAGGTGTATGTGACAGAACCAAGCTGAGAGACACTTAGCATTTCTATGTGTTAATAAGTGCATGGAACAAAAAACAAAACAAAAAAAGGAGAGAAAACTCTTGCAGGAAGCGAAGGGAACATGTTCAGAAGGAAGACTTGAACCATTTGATTTCCTTCTAAAATAATTTGTAAAAAATCATGCACCACGAGAAAATGAGAAGTTTGCCTATTCATATGAACTCTGCACAGAGAAGATTTTTCTATTCTGTGACCAGCAGAAGAGCCACAAAGGGAAAACTGTCTGACATAATATACAGATTCAAAACTTCTTTACATAAAAAAGATCATGAACTTCTAAAAGATGAAGAATTAACTGGGAATATCAGAACATCAGAGTAGACAAAGATATACAATTTCTAATGTACAAGAAGATGCTCTACGGATACTGTTTGATTCTCATAAGGGGCACTTGTTGCTGCCTGTCCCCTGCTCCAGCTGTCACAAGTACCATCGTCCCGTGAGCAGCACATTTTCTCCCAGGGAAACACAGCTACCTGTGCTCCCTTCTTCTCGGGCTGCCAGGACTCTCATGGAGGAAGACCAGATCCTGTTCTGCTCCGCCCGGCTTTCTCCTCAATTTCTCTCCCACTTACACCACGTCTATTTTTTATGATGCTTTACTTTCCTGCCAAAATAAGATTCCCGTCCTCAGAGTTTTTCTCAGGAAAAGAGCAATCATGTTGCACAGTGTCCCCTCAATATTACTACACAAAAAGAAAGATATACAGAAGTCAAAGGGAGACAACTCCTGTTACAGATTAAGTAAAAAGAATATATAATTGTGTGTACAGCATTTCCTCATGAAAGCAGAAGCAAGAGCATTTTGCAAAAGACAGAAAGTAATGATGTACAATATTAACATTGATTGTCTTTATTTTTTTTAAGATTTATTTATTCATTTGAGAGAGAGTGCGGGGCGGGGGGAGGGCAAAGGGAGAGAATCTTCAAGTAGACTCCCTGCTGAGTGTGGGACCTAATCCTACGACCCAGAGATCATGACCTGAGCCAAAGCCAAGAGTCAGTCGCTCAACTGACTGAGCCCCAACATTGATTGTCTTTAAATGGAGGGATGGTGGGTGATGTCATCCTTTTTCCTACTTCTTTATGTTTTATATTCTTATTATAATGATTACTGCAAAAAATATTATTTTGCTTGGAGGCAAACAAAATAAACTCAAGATTAAAACCCGAAGAATCAAGGACTTGTCCCATTAACTAATAACCACTCACTGGCAGAGTCTTAGATCCAATCCCTGTTGTGTGATTTCGGGCCAGTCCTGTGATCTGTATGTGCATAGCTTCTTCCAGAAATATTCTTGTTCTCTTAGTTCCAGCAAATAGTATGTCTTCTTGGTTCAGCTTTCTCTGTGGGTACGTTAGTCCCTATCAATGAATTGCTGCAAAGCTGGGCTTGGAAATGGTCCCTGAAACTCGGAGCATTTGACCTTTCCAACTCTTGTGAGCATTTTTTATAGTTGAGTGGGGGCGTGTTTGTCATAGAGCTACTAACTGGGCTTCCTCCTAGAACCTGAATTCTATCTGATGTCATTCTTTTGTTGATTCCCACTCTCTGGTTTGAATCGGCTTGCACACCTATACCTACTAATTAAGTCACAACCAAGATGGCCTTTACCTTTTCTTCAGGTTGATGAAATTTTTGACAAGCTTCTTCCTGACTTTAGGCTTTTGACCTCATTTTCTTAGAATATTCACTTTAGAAAACTTTTAATTATAAATTCTTTCTCTGCTTCTTTGAGATGTAAATCTTTTTTTTTTTTTTTTTAAAGATTTTATTTATTTGATAGGGAGAGACACATCGAGAGAGCGAACACAAGCAGGGGGGAGTGGGAGGGGGAGAAGCAGGCTTCCCGCCGAGCAGGGAGCCCGATGCGGGGCTCGATCCCAGGACCCTGGGACCATGACCTGAGCCGAAGGCAGACGCTTAACGACTGAGCCACCCAGGCGCCCCTGAGATATAAATCTTTTAAAAAGCCTCTTGCCGGTTTCACAACGCAGGAACGTCCCAACTCAACAGATGGGAGTATTGCCTATGAAATGCAATGAACAAGGAAGGAAGCCCCCATCTCCCTTTCTTTGTGTGACTGTGGAAGTCTCACTCCTATGGACAATGCTTGTTTCAAGTTACAAAACTACCTCCTATCATAGAGAGGTGAGAAGTTTATTTTTCCTTTGGGTAAATACAATTAAGGAACACAGATGGCCTGTGTTTTTTCACTCACCACCCACCCCAGCACTTAAGAATCCTCTTACCGGGGGCACCTAAATGGCTCAGTTGTTTAAGTGTCTGACTCTTGGTTTTAGCTCAGGTCATGATCTCAGGATTCTGAGATCTAGCCCTGTGCTTTGGCTCCACGCTCAGTGGGGGGTCTGCTTGAGATTCTCTGTCCCTCTGCCCTTCCTTCACTTGTTTGCACATGCTCTCTTTCAAATAAACAAATAAATAATAATAATAATAATAATAAAAAAAGAGTCCTCTTAGCATTTATCCCAGCAGGCTTGAGCTCAGATTGAGCTCTGCTCACTCCTCCTATTTCAAGAGTCTTGAATAAAGTCTTCTTTGCCTGTTTAACTTTGGTGCCATTTTTGCTGTGAAATCCTGTAGGGATTTTTGGCCACTCCTTCTTTCCATGCTGCAGTGCTGTCCTTGGCCAGTCGGTTTTATTCCAGGCCTGCCAGGTCAGGCAACCTTTATTTCTTAAACCTGCTTGTGATGCTAAGCATTAGCTTGAGCTTTTCAAAATTGTAATAGGGAATTCCAATGAGGAAGGTATTTCAAAAAGCCTCGTCTTCTACTCTGGGGAAGGACTCTTCATGGGGGGGAACATCTTCCCCAGCCTGAGAGCCTCCACAGAGCGCCTTTCATGTCCCTGTTCCTCAGGCTGTAGATGAAGGGGTTCAGCATGGGGGTGACCGTCGTATACACCACAGATGCCAGCATTCCAGTGTCTGCTGAGTAGGAGGATGCGGGCTGGAAATACACCAGAAAGACAGTTCCATAGAAGAGAGTGACCACTGTCAGGTGAGAGCCACAGGTCGAGAAGACTTTGTGCTTCCCCCCAGCCGAGGGGACCCTGAGGATGGTGTGCATGATGTGGGCGTAAGAGACCAGGACACAGGCGAGAGGGACCACACCCGAGAGGGCTGCTTCAGCAAACATCATGACCTGAAAGAGCTGGGTGTCTGAGCAGGCAAGTTTGAGGAGAGGGAGAAGGTCACAGAAAAAGTGTGGGATGGAATGGGAGGCACAGAAGGAGAACTGAGACATGAGGAGGGTGAGGGAGAAGGCCAGGAGGTGGGCGCAGAGCCAGGATGCGGCGACCAGCAGCAGGCAGCGTTGGGGACACATGATCGTGGTGTAGTGGAGAGGAAGACAGATGGCCACGTAGCGGTCATATGCCATCACGGCCAGCAGGAAGTCGTCCAGCAGGGCCAGTGCCATGAAGAAGTACATCTGCACGAGGCACCCAGTGTGGGAGATGGTGTGGTGTTGTGTGAGGATGTTCACCAGCACCTTGGGGACAATGGTGCAGGAGAAGCAGGTATCGATGAGGGACAGGTTGGCCAGGAAGAAGTACATGGGGGTGTGGAGGTGCTGGTCAGCAACTATGGCCAGGATGACGAGCAGGTTCCCCAACACAGTCACCAGGTACATGCCCAGGAAGAGGCCAAACAGGAGAGGCAGCTGCTCTGGGTGTTCAGAGAAGCCCAGGAGCAGGAAGTCAGCGATGCTGGTGTGGTTTCTGATTGCCTTAAAGTAGAGAAATTGGAGGAGAATTTTGCTTAAGTAAAGGTAGTCTCTGAATAGTAGAGACTGCAAGGGCTTTGGTCTGTTTTTCTCTATTCCTTGGAAAAGTCACTGAGATTGACTAGCAATTGAAACTGTGGGTTTGTAAACATGTGGACTGTGATAATGAGGCATCAGGGTGAGCTGTAGTTTGGGTTCTAGATTCCTGTCATGTAGCAAGGTTTTGGCATGGATTGTCTGAGTGACACTGAACTGGGATTCACCTGAAAGGACTTCTTCAAATTTAGTTCCCTTTCTAAAAGACTTAGAACAGCAGGTTTAGTCTCCTCTCTTTTGGAGCTCATTTTGGGGTCATACATCTACTAGGATTTCATGGGCACCGCAGGGTGCCTGTGTGTATGCGTGTGAGTGTGTGAGTGCATCCTGAGGGAGATGGAGGAGGAGAAGTTTTTCCAGAGAGGAGCCAGTGCAGACCAGGGGTCTCTAGGTGTAGTGGGGTTTCTGGTGTTCTTTGCCTTAGAGGACCACTCCACTGAGTCAGTGTGGACATGAGAATGTTGGAAACTGAGATGTGTTCTATCATTAAGGGCACATCATTTTCGTTGTCATCATCAAACTCACCACCAACATCTTTTTATTTTCTGGGCTTTGGCGTCCTGGAGACATGATGGGAAGCTTCTCTCTGCTTCTTTTCTCGGTCTGACCTTGGTCAGCTACTTAACTCTGAATGTGTGTTTCCTCATTTGGACCATGAGCAGCACCTTCATGGAGTCATGGGCGTTATGACTGATACAACACGGATGGAGGGCCAGCTACTCTCAAGGGTGATGACGCTCCTGTCATTGTTGGTTACAGTTGCTGAAATGTGAAGCAGGGACACACAATACAGTGGAAAAACATCAGATGCCCTGCTTTACAGCTCTGTTCCTCACATGCCTTTTAAACTCAGGGACAGGTTTTCTCCCTTTCTCCCTGTATTTTTTCTTCTCTGTAAGATACAGATACTAGCCTTACCTGATAGGTGTATTGAAGGGACCAAAGGCTGGAAACTCTTGAAGTTTCTTTATCAACCATGATGTGCAATCAAGATGAGAAATTCCCATGATCCTGTTTGATGGTGTGGAGAAGCAAAGGTGATGATGATGAATGGTCAGTGGCTTCATGTCATGTTTGTTTAGGGTTGTCATAAAAACATAATATAGCTTTGGGAGTCAGACAGAATCTCCCCACTCTTTACTTGTTTTTTTTAAGGTTTATTTATTTTAAATGCAATATATGTTAAGAAAAAAAAAGAAGAAGAAGAAGGTAGCGGGAGGGGAAGAATGAAGCGGGGGAAATCGGAGGGGTAGACGAACCA